GGCCTGGGCTGCCCGTTACATCCGGTCACGCCTTCTAAAACAGAAGCCCCGCTTTGGACGGCCCCTCGCTCTGGGTTCCGGGACCCGTCTGTGTCTTTTGGCAAAGTGCACAGGGTCATTTCAATGGCCAGTGCTGTTTACTTACGGCGTTCCGCAGCATGACATTTGTTTATGCTTTTAAATTGCTTTTGCAGCCATTGTGCAGTCCCACGAGGCAGATTAAACAATTATTCGAAGATTATCACTCCTCCCTGTTTATTAGATGCCCGTGATGGCTGGAAGGCCCCTTCCTGAGCGCGCACAGCCAGCCGGCCCAGCGCGCTCAGGCAGGCTGGAGCTGTCCACTGTCTGGGACTCCATTAGAGATGTTTAAATGTGTATAAATCGATATCCTCTACGCGGCCTCCCTCAGCCCTCTGGCTGGCCTGCTGTCGTGACCCGGCAGAGGTTTCTCTGGGGGGACGGTTCGGTTACGCCTCTCTGTCACCCTAAGACCCAGAACGTTTCTGTCCTTCAAACCCCAGCTTTAGGGCCATTTCCTTTGTTAAGTCCTGTCTTGCACCCACCTCGGTTGGTCTTTGGCATCTGGGTCTTCGCTACTTTGTTCTGCTAGCCTGTCGCCTCCCGTCTGTTTACATCTGTAGAAGATCCGCATTTCTTCCTTCTCAACTACTGTTTTGGGTTTTGTTTTTTGTTTTTTTAAAGAATTAGCCACTGTCACCAAAGCTTCGTAAGAAGGAGACTTGGTGTTCGGGGGGCCTGTAAGACAATGTCTTGCAAGAAGCGCGGCTCCTCTTACCGGGCAAGTCTTCTCCTAGCCAAGGGAGCCACGGGCTATCCTGGGTTCAAAGCATAAAAGCCGTTCCCCGTCCCGCTCCCCATCATGCGCATCAGCTGTCTCAGGCTCCCAGCCGAAGGCTGAATCCAGGAAATGATTCCTCCCTTCTCTCCAGACAGCAGCGAGATGAGGAGACGCCCGAGGACTTCTTCTATTTCATTGACTTTCAGAGACACAACGCTGAGATCGCAGCTTTCCATCTGGACAGGTAGGGGCTGGCCCCAGAGGTGGTGCTGACTGCAAAGGCCGACCAGTCCAGAGAGGGGGCGCTGGCCAGTGCCTCAGGTGGGAGCTCCCCGGAATGGTGACAGTCTCCCTTCTGGCTCTTTTTCTGCACGAACCTCACTGATGCCTTCGAACCCCACCTGTCCCACCCCACCCCATGGACTGAAACACGCAAAGGCTTTTAAAGTAATGAAAAGAATAACTCAGAAAGAAAACTCACCCTGCCAGGCTGCTCACACTGCCACCTTGGGCACGACGTGGCCCTTCGCTCTAGTTCCCAGATCTGACTCTGGGGAGACTGTGCCCACTCCCACTTATCCGAGGTTCTGATATAAAAGGTGAAAGTTCCTAAACTGGCAAGCTCCCCCTGTTTGCCCAGTCATGGCCACTCGAGGTGTGGTCTGTGGACCTGGCAGCCTGGACGCCACCCAGGAGCTTTCCAGAAATGCAGAATCTCAGCCTTACCCTGCGCTCACCGACTCAGACCTGCTTTTGAACAAGGTCCCAGGTGACTCATATGCACGTCGAAGTATGAGACGCTCTGACCTAGAGCACAGCTCGGAGGGTGGAAGGTTTGCCCAGGAGGTTTGATGGAATCGGGGTCCTTTGCCACCCCTTTTGGTGCAGGGTTGCCCCAGGCGCTGCCAGCTCAGCACTGCAGAGTCCCCCACAGCTGGGTATGCTCAGAGATGCCCGTCCATCTCTATAGGGTAACCATCTAAGTCCCAGATTCCCCCCGACTCGGATCTAAACGGGGCTCCCTCTCCTTCAGGATTCTAGACTTCCGACGGGTGCCACCAACGGCGGGGAGGCTAATCAATGTCACCAAGGAAATCCTAGAAGTCACCAAGAATGAAATCCTGCAGAGCGTGTTCTTTGTCTCTCCAGGTAGAGTACTGGACAAAGCAATATTCTGGCTCCAAGAGCACAGTAGTGGCCTGTCCCCCTGCCAGTGGCACCATTCATTACTGGGATGGGTGTATGCTGCCATCAGACACTCCCGCCTGGTCTACCTGAACGTCACACAAGATGAATTCGGAATGGAAAAAGGTCACACAGAAAACGCTAACTAGCCTGGGTGGGCAATTACCTATAATGCCAGCCGCCCTGGGATCCGATATCGTCCATTCAAACAAAGAACACTCTAATCGTGCATCTAGGATACGCTGAGGCTGGGTCCCACGCTTTCTCTGCTCCGAGACATTTGGGAATTAGAGTCGGGATGCTCAGTTTAATAGCATCCGTGAGCCCCTCCATCCGGAAAAGGCAATGTTTTCTTCTTCTTCCTTTCCCCATGCTGAGTGCAGGGTTTCTCTTCCTTCCTAGTGGATTTATGGGGGCAGGAAGTCGGTCTGCCCCCAAAGCCCTTTCTCCATTCCCCCTCTCTCTTCCTTCATCCTCCAGCCAGCAACGTGTGCTTCTTTGCCAAGTGCCCGTACATGTGCAAGACCGAGTACGCCGTCTGCGGCAACCCTCACCTGCTGGAGGGCTCCCTCTCCGCCTTCCTGCCGTCCCTCAACCTGGCCCCCAGGCTGTCCGTGCCCAACCCCTGGATCCGCTCCTACACGCTGGCAGGAAAAGAAGAGTGAGTTGGTTCCCGGCCACAACGCCCTGGCCACGGTCCGCCGTCCAGCCCGAGACTGGCCACAGCCCTGTACCGAGGACTTGTGGCTGGCCTGGCTTTCGGACCCCAAAAGCTGCCTCGACCCTCCTTTGCCTCATCTCCTGTTGATCCTGGGACCAGCTGGCCTGTCTGTTCTCTCCCTTTAGTTCATTTATTTGGTTATAAAGAGCCTGCTATGTGCCCAACACTAAGTACTAAGGGATACAGAAATGAAAGACACAGCTCCTCTGCCCACCCCCAAGACTGTCCAGTGGTCTAGCTGGGCAGTCAGAGAAGTAGCCAGGTTATGAAAACAGTGCACCTCCTGCTGTGACACAGAGAAGCACACGAGCACGCAGGAGGGCCACCTAGTTCCCGAGTAAGCCCTTGACGCCAAGGACCCCATCATTGCATCCCCAGGGCTTAGCACACTCCCTGGTGCACAGTAGGTACTCAGTTCACGTTAGTGGACTGACTGAGTAGGTTCACAGTCCAGCCACGCCAGTCGTGGCAGGAAGATAAATAACCCAGGAAAATTTCTGGAGGACATCACAGATCCTAAGAGCCACCAGATGAAAGGGGAAATGGGGACATTCCAGGCAGAGGGGGGTGTGAGAGAGAGAGGACAGAGAATGGCTTGCAGGGCGACTACGAATGGCTCAGGAGAACCGCAGGGCCCAAGAGGCTGGTGAGGAGCTGCAGAGGAAGCAGGTGAGGGACACGTGTCTCGCCTTCCGCTGCTGGCCCGTCGCCTCCCCTCTGGCATGTGACGTGCCAGCCATCAGCAGAGTGGATGCTCAGGAAGCGTGTGGTGAAAGGAGCCAGAACCTTCTCGGCATGTGGAATCTACAGCCTCCTTGTGCCTTTGCCCAGGGTCCTGAATGTACCCGGCCACCGCCTGCATGCCAAGGAGCTGCCACCAGCTCCGGGCAAAACTAGGGAGGCAGGGATTTTTGGGGGGTGAGGGTGGGGGCCAGGTACGAGGAAGGCCCCCAAATACCTTGCCATCTTGGCTCCTCCAGCCCCAGGACTTCTTCCCCACAGGTGGGAGGTCAACCCACTCTACTGCGACACTGTGAAGCGGATCTACCCGTACAGCAGCAGCAGCCGGCTGCTCAACGTCATCGACATGGCCATCTTCGACTTCCTCATCGGTGGGTCCCCATGCTCAGAGCCCCTGGTGGGAGGGGCTGTGCCGCTGGGCTGGGACTCTCCATGACCTCGGCCACCAGTTATAGCTAGGGCCATGAGGACCGAATGACCCCGCACTGCCCACAGCCTCAGGGAGCGGCGGCAGTCCCAGAGGGCAGAAGTCAACATGTGCCCCTCCTGGGAGGGGACACCACTTAGTAGGCTGGCCCCCAGGCCTGAGCGGGCCTCAGGTTTGAAGTTATTGGTTCCCTTGACCACGTAAGGGGAAACCAGAGAGGAAAGGGGAAAAGTACACCATAAATGGGGAGCAAGGGGAAGGTCTTGGGAAGGGGCTGGTCACCTACCTTCTAGTCCCTTGGGGACCCAGGAAGGCTAAGGAGATAGTTATGAAGGTGGCTAACACATGCTGAGGTCCCAAGTCCTACAGCGTCCGCCCCAGCTCACTCCCCCACCATTTGGGAAGCGAACCTGTGTCTGCTCACCCTGACGGACCTCGGCTGGGAGCTCGGGCGCAGGCCAGCACCCAGGCCGGGGGCCAGCGGCGCGGTGAAAGCCTTGGATTTGGACACGGTCCATAGTAGAGACTGCTATCTAGCTTCCTTTTCCTTCGCTAATAACCAGCTTCCCTAACAACCCCGGGGACACAACAGCTTGTGGCCCTGGGTTCAGAATCGTGTCTGAACTAAGAGGGAACACAGAGGCCAGGAACACCTGCCACCTGGCCTGTGGGCCCCAGCTCCAAGGTCTCCCCTCCTCTACAGGAAACATGGACCGTCACCATTATGAGATGTTCACCAAATTTGGCGATGATGGGTTCTTTATTCACCTCGACAACGCCAGAGGGTGAGTATCCCAGCGCACCCCAGCCCAGCCGTACCCCGGGGGAAAACCAGCAGCCCGAGGGTGAGGGGTGTGCGGTCACACTCCGGCTCCTTGCCCTACGTGTTTCTCTCTCTCGATCTTTCCTAAGGAACACCGATTCTCCCTAAGAGCATTGGTAAAATCATTTTCCGTGTTTCTTTACTCACGGGTTCACTTCTGGAGGCAGAGCGCATGGCTCACGGCCTGGGTCTGACCCTCTGTAGGTGGTGAATACATGAATGAATGATTGGTTGGTTTCAATACCTTTGGACCCAGGCTTTTGTGACCTGATTGAGGAAGAAGGGCTGGAGAGGCAGCTGCCATGATCCCTGGCATTTTACTCTAAGTTGTCCTTCAAAAAAAGGCCAAGGTCCTTCAAAAAAATAAATAAATGAGAGGAAAAACGGTAGGGAGGCAGCACCCACGAAAGCCCGTTTCTCCTCCCAGGTTTGGACGGCACTCCCACGACGAACTCTCCACCCTCTCGCCGCTGTCCCAGTGCTGCAGGTAAGCTTTTGGCTCAAGGGTCAGGTCACAGCTGTGACGCTCCACCCTGCTTGCACGCAAGCTCTGAAGGCCTTACTCAGTTTTCACTGAGTAAGACATGGGTGGGTACAATGACAGGAATTACCAACAAGAGAATTTTCCCCAACAACTCAGATTGTTTCATCTTTCAGCATGGGATGAATTAGGATCTATTTTTTTTAAATCTTTCGATCGCTTACTTTAATCTTTAGCCCACTCAGAAAATAATCACCCACTTTTGCAGAGCCTGTCTTTGATATGACTAATCACACTTCTGCTTCACCCAGCACTCGTACAAGCTCATAAATATTACTGCTGGGTGACCATCTAAATGAAATCCTGATTAAACTCCCATAAGCCCATATCAGCTTGAAAGGAAGTACTGAGAACTTTGGCCACCATTAATCTAGAGCATTTCCATCCCACTTTGTACCTCTCTGGTGTCTCAGCCAGGCTTATGAAATCATCCGGCTGCTCAGCTGCAATATCCAGAGCCAATTAGAAATACGTGCTTCGCACCCAGCAAAGCCACTTCATTCACTTTCAGCTGGAAAACTCAAAACGGGGTCTGAATTTTCTCTATCCACCTCTTAGGTTCATTTAAACCTGCTTCCCCTGCTTGCCTCCCTTCCTCTCCTTTAGGAAGTAGTTGTTTAGGACAGAAGTTGGAAAATCAGGCCGCTGACACATCTGAGTCTGAGTCAGATTTCTGCATAAAAAGTAATCAAAATCCGAAAGTCAAGATTGGTCGGGCCCCAATGTCATCCCTCTAATTTGAAAATCTGACACAGAGAAGTATTATTAAGTTGACAAGAAACAACTTGGAAGCTGGCAGTTCCTAGGGCTTTTGAGGGCAAACGTCATCATTTCACCTATCGAAAAACTTCTAGCTTTATCTCCCCTTGAAATCATTATCGCTCCTGTTTCGATTCCTTTCGCAATGTCCGATGTATACGGTTAAGCATCATTATGTGGCATTACAATTGTTACAGTGTAAACAGCTCAGCAGGTCTTTGACCAAAAGGCAATTGAAAAAGGACTGCAAAATACTGGGTCATCTTTTCTTCATTCCCTTTTTACCTGGTTTCCATGAAAGTGTGCTTAAGACTGAAGGACAGGACCTCAGGACATCAGCGACAACAGCTCCTGGTGGGTAAAGTTCAGGTCAAGCTGTTTTCTTCACCTTTACTTATTTGGTCTCTGTAACATTTTCCTTCCAGGATAAAGAAGAAAACACTTCTGCACCTGCAGCTGCTGGCCCAGCCGGACTACAGACTCAGTGACATGATGCGGGAGTCGCTGCTGGAGGACCCGCTGGCCCCCGTCCTCACGGAGCCTCACCTCCTTGCTCTGGACCGGAGACTCCAGATCATCCTGCAGACTGTGGCGGGGTGCATAGGGGCCCACGGAGAGCAGAGTGTCGTAGCCGATGGCCCTGCAGAACAGTCAGCCCTGGACTCTGGCCAGGCTAACCTGACGAGCTAGGGGCTGGACGGGCCAAATTTCAGAAACTACACCTGGAGTGAGCAGTGGACTCTTGATTGTGGACCGTTGCTTCCTCACGTGCCCCTGTCGATTCTGGAGGTCCTAGGGCAGGAGCCCAGGGGGGCAGGCAGGGCACTAGGATGACTCTGAAAGGGCAGAAGTGGGACCCACCCGACTTTCTTCCTCGGTGCGCTGCTTCTCCAGGGAGCCTTGGCTCCCTCTTGCCCAGAAAGCACTGCTTCATCCAGGCCACAGACCATCTCCTGAGCCCACTGGGAAACCGCCATACAGGTCAGGCTTGAAAGGCTTGGAGAGCCTTGTTCCCAGAGAGTATTAACTGTTACAAATAAAAGGACATCAAGTGGACACCTAACTGGCCTCCAGATCCTTATTTCATCTACAAGGATAATTCCCAATCCAGATAAAACATCTGGCCTATTGCAGGAAAAAAAATCTAATACCTCTCAAAGTGGGTCAAAGTAGACTTCACACTTTGATATTCCAGTCGCTGTGGCCCAGTCTGAAGACAATAATCACTACTGACCAGTCCTAAAGTCATTTCTAAAAAATAGTCATTTCAAAAGGTAAAAATAACAAGGATTTTCTGAGAATATCAGAAAAGGGATGTTTCAATCTGAGTATTTAAATATCAACTGAAATAACGTAAAGTATGTCAAAATTAGCATCCAGTGTCAGGAAAGATTTTAATAAAGAGAAAACAAGGGTGGCCTTGAAGGTGGGACAGGGGACAGAAACCAGCCCAGCAGGGACGTGAGCCTGGACTCAGGCCGACGACGGTCCTTCCCCATGAGAGCCAGCAGCTGCCCCTCACCTGCCCCCAAGGGGAGCAGGGAGCCATCTTGAGAGGCCTGGCCCCCTTCCCCTCAGCTGCTTGCCCAAAAGGGACAACGTCAAGTTGACTTTCCGAGCCTCCCTCCAAAGTGGGTGCAGAGCAGGTCCATCTCCTCAGCCTTCTCCCTGCTGGCTTGCTGACCTCTGAAACTGCTTAATGGGAGGCTGTTTCTCATCCCATAATTCATGACTGAAAACACAAATGACAGGGAAGTATTCGTACTACAGAGTGATTCGTCAGTCGACAAGGAAAAAATCCTGACTATCAGATGAACTTTTTCTGATAAAGACCAGAGGCTCATATACTAAGTGTGACGGGATAGAAAGAAGTCACTAAAGAGGGTACGAGGTCAGGAACGAGAGGTGTCATCCAAGACTTCTGCGATGTGTCCAAAGACAGCCCCAACAGGACAAATAACGAGGGTACTTCTGACCCACCCTGGTACCCACATCACGGGTGCACGTCCCCTGAACCGTGTCCATGACTACCATCCCCCAGGCTCACACACTCACCGCGTGTGAGGAGCCACACACGTGTCCAGTCCTTCCCAACAGATTCCCCTACCTCCTGTGTACACCGAGATTAACAAAAATCAAACAATTCAATGATTCCAACCTATTCCAAAGCGTTCCTTCCACTGTAATATAGATGCTCAACAGTATCTTTGAAGTTATCTTTAAAAAAAAAAAAATCAACTCTTAAATAGAGGAAACTCCATCGCAGAGAGTCTCGTCACCGAGGTGACTCTGCTGCAGCTCAGCGTCTCCCACTTCACGAACTGCTTCTCCTACTTGGAGCCAGTATTTTCCTTTGTAGTAGGGACTAGGTAATTACACAAAGACAGACAAATATTCAAGCAAGGATATGCAAAGAATAGTGCAGTGGTCTGGGACTTCCAAGCCAGAGCCTCAGGAGCGCAAGCTGTGGCACCATCTCCAACTGAGCCTTCTCTGTGACAACAGACTGGTTTGCAAGTGGCCTACGATACAAATGCTGGTGTACTTCAGAAACTGAGGAATAGAATTGAGTTTGACCACAATACGCGGAGTACCTAGATACCTAATTATTCACTTATCTTAAGCATTCCATTATTTTTTCACTAGTAACCAAGTCAAGACTATCATTTGTCAAAAATAGCAGAAAAGATTATTCTTAGAATGTTCAAGTTCTAACATGTTTACTTTGGACCACTGTCCAACTTCCCATGACGCAGTCTCCTGTCCCCATGTAAGAACCGTTCCTGTTACTACCAGCAAACAAAGAAGGAAAGGGCCCTACGGCATGGGGCTTGGTGGGGAAGGGGGTTTGAAGGAACTCACTGGAGCCTTCCCGAAAGTCAGGACATCTGAGTTTGAAGACTGTAAAAATGAATCTTCTTATTCGTGGTAGTTTTACGGTCTATAAAGTCATCACAGATATTAAATAAATATTGAATCATCTGCTCCTAGAGGAAATACAAGGTGTAGGTTCCTGTGAGCCTCTGGTTACATTCTGTCAACCAACCAATACATAACCTTGTCTTAATGTGTTAAGGTGTGTTACCGACACCTTGTTTAATATATACTGATGATTCATTAACACTGAACTTGTGGCCAACAACTGTAACTCATTCCTGAAAGTTGATTTAATACACTTATTCTCTCCATAATGCACATCACACCCTCCTGCCCTTAGGAACACTGGCCAGCACCGCAGCACTACACTCGGAGGCCATTTTAAACAGTGAAATCGCCAAGAGCACACACAAAAATGCAAAAAAGTGGCACCAAGCAGACCACGATTACAGTATGAGAGCCAAAACAAAAGGAAGAGTGTCGTGTTATTCGACCTCAAATAAGGTTGAATTCGGAAGACTCGAACTCTTCACCACTCCACTCGTATCTGGGAATGACTGTGAAAAGGCTGTGAGTATTGACTCTGAGGTTACAAAAAATTTTAGCAAGTAGGCAACTTCACAAAATTCATAAGTACAGTGTCCCTGAACAATTAGAATCGACTGCAACTTATTTTGAAACAAGATGATCAAAAAGCTATCTATCTAGTGGTGACTTTTAAAATCACAAAGTTCTTTAAGCTAAATTGGCAGAACTTTCACAAAATGAAAATACTATAGTCATCAGTGGTTTTGTTAGTCATAACAGAATACAGTCAAGTCAGGATGAAGCCATAGCTCTGAACTTATGCCAATAAACAAATTCTAACTTTATATGTACACAACAATACTGATTTCTATGAAAAAGTTCCATAGGGTAAGAAGAGAGAGAATTAAGGCCCCCCCCCTTTTAAATTCTCCCATCTACAGCCTTTACCGATAGCTATTACGATAGCTACCTTGGGGGAATGTATTAAATGGTGACCTAGCCATTGCTTCTCACGGGTGTTTTACTCATCTAGAAATACACTGCCAGGACCTCATAAAAATACAAAAGGGGTTCAGCTATTAATTCATGATCGGAGATAACAGTATTAAGAAAACTGACATCACGCTACTTCAATTTTGAAATGTCAATATTTAAGTCATTAAAAAACAAAAAGCGATTCTACATGAGCTAATGTTTTAGAAGAAGGATTTAACTATAACCAGTACAATCAACCTAGGAAAATTTTTCTTTAGTTGCATTCCTGTTTTAACTCTAAAGGTTCCTACTCTAGTGAGCTGAGGAGAGGAATGACTAAATCTGGACAAGGTCCATGTGTTACAAAGCAGTAAAACTTAAAGAATGTTCTAGAACACAATGCATCCCTGAGAACTTCACTGGATGTAAAGAAATTAATACCAATATACTAATGAGTCCAACTTAATCATCTCACTCCCCAGGAATCTGAGGACTAGACGTCAGAAATAACTTTATACGTGCAAAATAAATAACTATACCTAAATATGTGAATATATTAAATTTAAAACGGAAGATGCTGATCCAGAAATAATGTTTCCCCGTTAAGTCTGGGGAAGCCAGAGAACCAGTCTGCCTTCAATAAAAAGGAAACATTCAGCTTTTGATTTAATCTTTTCCTTCCATAACTTGGTAAACGGATCTGCTATATCTCAATTACTCTTGAAGCAAGGTTTGCACATTCATTCTTTGACAAACTGACTTGGAAGCCACTGAAAACAAACACATGACTCTTTTTAAAACACTAATCCCATAATTCACTTTCGATTTTCATTCTTGCCCACAAGATTAGGAGATTCTGGGGCAGGCGGGGAGAAGAGAAGGAAAGGAGAAAGGGAAGAAAAACTGATTCATTTAAGAATTTAAATTATTTAATCTTTTTTTATTACTTGACCTACCATTAAGACAGTCTATAACAAAAAGAATATATTAGCACACACAGTATAATCACACTAGTAACCAGGAAACAATACAAAATGGTCCTTTGGCCATCTATACTTTCTAGAGCAGACCTCAGAAAATCACTTACCAAGCCCAGAAATGACGACTTCTAAAGCCCCGATTAACTAAGACGAATTATGCCAATCATGATTTCTCACATATACTCAGAATGCACAATGATAAAGCTTCAAATGTGGTAATTTTTAAATTCAGACTTAAAATTTCTTAGATTAGAAACTACAAAAGGGAGTAAACAGCAAGCCAAATGACTTAAGAGCAAAACTCATTTAGAAAGCATCATATGTATCTAAGTATACATGAACATGATCACATACATACATGAAACTGCATATTTATGGCATTCTAAATAATTCACTGAAGTACAGTTTTGGCATTTAAACAAAGATCAAATCAAGCTTTACACTAATAAGAACATAAATTTTATTTTTAATTTTTTAAATATAAAAAAGGTAGCTAAACATAAAGTATAGATCAGAAAACCCTCATTTAATATAGATTTTGGAAAATAAAAAATTTGTAATAAGGTGGCTTTCTAACCCGCACTAAAATGTAAATAAAACCTCTTTCCCAGATTTATACCCCAAACTTAGTAACAACCTACGAACTGTTCAAACCTGTGAAAAAAAATCTACCATGACCAATTTAAATTACCTGTGAAAGGGTAAGAGAGGGGATTAATAATCGAGCCAGTGGCATACAGATGGAAAAATGCTTGCAGTCACTCCCAAATATAACCCTACAATATATATAAATCACAATGAAAATAAAAGTGCCTACATTATGGAACTGTGAGATTTTGTTTTAAAAAATAACAATAAAAATAAACTGCTGGGTATCACTGGTGCACATGGAATAATGTAACATAAGGTTGACAAGGCTGGAAAATACTGAAATACAGTTAAGACTCAAAACACAAGTTTACTTAAAAAAAAAAAAAAGTCTGCCAAAGAAATAAATG